TAACGAGATGTCAAGGACAAACAAGACAGCATGAGGGATGGAGAACACTAAAGAAATATTTTAAGAGTACAAGAGAATGGTGGATGATGGTGAAGAAGAGGACAGGAGAAATCTTCAGGAAGGAAGGCTGAAGAACCATATAGAAAAAAACCGGAGCTGAGAGAGCTACAAAGAAAGATGCAGGAACTGCTAAAGGAAGCCAGAGAAGGAAGACAGGTGTGAGAAAAACTAGAATAAACAAGACAAGAGATAGAAAGGTGATTTAAAAGGAAGACAAGAGAGAAAATTTTAGTACAAGCACATCCAAGAGAGGAAAATAAACGCAATTATAACAAACCTAGGTTTATAAAAAGCATATGATGGAGTGCATCATGATTAAATATTCAAGGTGCTAGGAAAAATGGAGCTTCCAGAGAAATTTATACATTGGATAAGGTTATTGTATAGAAAAGTGAAGAGTCAAGTCCAAATTACTGGCATCAAAGCGGAGCCTTTGGAATTCATACAGGAGTGAGGCAAGGGTGCCCTCCTGTTGCCACTACTATTTGTGTATGGCCTGGAACCATTAGCACAAAGAAAAAGAAAAGACAAGGTCATATGTGGAGTAAAAATACCCGAAAGGGGAGAGATAAAATGCATATTATACACCGATGATATAAATGTAGTAGCTGGAGACAGACTTTTGATGGAAAGGTTGCTAAAGCATACATCAGAGTATGGAGAAACAACAGGGGCTAAACTAAATAGATTGAAAAGCACCACAATGCAAGTGGGGAATTGGAGGGACTTGGAAAAGTTGGACCTTCAAATAAGAGAGAATGACATGAGGGTGCTAGTTAACCTGTTGTTAGCGTGGGAAATGGCACTATATCGACTCATACCAAAGGGACCCCAGGAAATGTTATTAAGCACTTCATTAACATGTTTTAAAACTAATTTATGGCAAGCAAGAAACCTCTGCTGTTTTTAAGGGCTTGGCTTTCACAGAAAGAGAGTGCCTGCAGTGGGGGCGCTGAATTTCTACATCAATCAAGACAAGGAAGAGATTGGAGGAGAAGCAGCAGCCGAGAAAAAGTGGAGAAAAAAAGGACTGGACACACTTGTTTCAACAAACCAAGAGAGGACAGATGGGAAGGGCGTACAGTTTCATTTGGTTACTGAGGTAACCGTTTTTCATGGGTTTCTGTATGAAAAAAAGAGGCGTGTAAGGGGTCATTTTGTGGAAAGTTGATGTATGTTCTTTAAGGATTTAATTTGGCTATGTAGCTGTTTTTGCAATAGAACATTTTGGTAAAACGCTTAATATGTGAAGTTTGGTAAGTGTAGGATGAAACGTGTATTTTTAATAAAATTTGTAAAAAACAAACAAACAAAAAGTGTTCTCATCAGTATGTTTGCCCTTTGTGGACCATGTGTTTTATAGTCATGCTCAGTGTAGGCTGCACTTAATCAGCTTCATAGCTGGTTTCCTTGACTGAGCCCATGCAGCTTCTGGCAGCAGTTTAATGATAGGCAATGTATTTACAGGGGTTTTCCTGTATGCAAAGGTAAAACAAGGAGCTTCCCCCCATGCTGACTGGGGGGAAAAAACCTCATCTTATATTTGAGGAAATATGGTAAATTGAGGTTAATTTGTTTTAAACTTTTGCCAGAATATTCTCTGCATGTGTTTGCCTCTGTATGCATGTGTCCCCAGCAGGGTTAGAATGGTACAATGGATACATTTTTCATCAAAATATTTGGAACCCACTTCGCTCGTCTCCCTACGCCCCAAAATGAGTGTGCCCTGCTCCAGCAGTTCATGCCTGCAGTGCTAACATCTCAGTAGTGTAAAGAATGGATGGGAAATCCCCCTCCTGTGAAAGGGTATAAACTAGCCTCCAACTAGTAAGGATTATGAAGAAGCTTTCCCTGGGGGTAATATATTTTACAACTGCCTGAGACCTCTTCTGAAACCTTTAGTCCTAAAAATTGCAGAAACAGGATGCTGGACTATAAGACATTTAAAAATGAGTTGTATCTATGAGCCCCTTTTCAGATTCATTTCTCTGCAAAGAATTTGGCTACTAGCAATGCACCTCCAAACCCAGAATCACCCACTCCATAGGACAAGATGATGTCAATTAAACATGTGAGGGAATTACTATCCTCTGAACCAGAATTGTGCTGCTGTCTACACGACCGATCGGAGGAATGAACAACAGTGCTGTGCTTCTGTTTGATCGCTACTCACATCATTCCTTGGTGACTCAGCTTGGACAGGGTCTTCAGCTGCCAGAGCAATGCTGCTTAGTGCTATGACTATGAGGATGACCATCTCAAAGTAGCGCAAGTTCACAATGTAATGAAACAGGCGTCGGATTCTGGGAGGGAAAAAAAATCATGTGAAAGAGCTACCATTGCTACAGTCTGCCAGTGCAGATAACATAGTAGCTGTGGGAGGACTTGCCTAGGAGAGATACAAATAGGAAGGGTGTTATGGTTAGAGCAGGAAACTGAGAGCTGAGACTCCTGTTCTGCCACTGAATTACTGTCAGATGTTGGGCAAGTCACCACACTTCTCTGCACCTCCCAGGGTCATAAAATAGTACTTTCTTATGCAAAAATTTCACTGAAATTATGAAACATGGAGGCCGCATCATTTGCTATATAGATGGAAATCCTTAGTCTAAAAAAATCATTACTGAAATTTATTATCTTTAAAATCTCTCTCTAGGCATCTCTACAGTATAGTTTACTGCAATTTTTGAGAACCAAACAAATCATTTGTAACAAGTAATTTATTTGGTAAATTTAACCTGGACTTTTCCTTCCTGAAGTGTTTACAAGAAAAGTGTAAAATTCTTGAATTTCTATTTTATTTAGAACTACTAGCAAACTGTTACAACAAATACTTCCTGGCCTGCATACAGTTCTCAAACATGTAAATATACAAATACACTGTGCTAGTTCTATAATTGTTCTTTCTCTCCCCTTCCCTGATTGGATGCAGTATGTAAGCAATGAACGGCCCTAAATTATGTGAATGTATAATGCAGTTGCAATATTTGAGCAGTTTACCTTAAAATTCACTTTTTGCAAATATTTAAGTAATTCCTGTCTAACAGATTCTTAGGGAATAATGAATGTAAACAAGGAAGAGAAATAGCAAAAGGGAATTTGTTATTAACTAAAGATAATGGAAATGTTTTGCAGTGTTCCCAAACTCTTGTTACATATCCTAGCGTTGTATGAGTCTAAAGAAGTGAGAGGTAACATTACCAATAATATTTGTAATTGTAATTCTCACACTGAACTTGGACTAAAAGATGTAACAAGTTGCTATTTTTGGTTCATAATCATTCATAGCAATCAATGAGATGCAGTAGTGTTTGCAAATTACCAGTGGTCCTTATTAAAGCGTTTAAAATCCACATTTATTTTTTCAAGGCTGGTTGCTGAGAAAGCCTGTATTTATATTATATTTGTTCAAAAATGTTTTGCACTCTTGGCAGTACTCAGGCAAATTTTCCTCCAGAGTTTAGAAAGAGAATGGTTTAGAAAAAGATATTAGGAAAAACATCCTACCCTTTGAAAGAGGAAAGGGCTACTCTAAGAAAAAGAGCCAAAGACTTGAACAAACACCCAAGCCTTCTGAGGCACATGTTTCCCTCCTGCTCTTTCTCTATATCCTTGGTCCCACTTCCTATCCAACTTCAATGGTGCTGCAACTTCAGCCAAGCAGCAGCCCATTTGGAGGTAAAGAGTTTTGCCCTCAAAGCAGAAAAGAGGAAGGAAAAGGACAAAAATCCCAGCCTGCAGCCGACTTTTCCCTGTGGATAGACTTGCAATTTCTGCGGCCAGATTTGTGGCTCAAGGATTGGACTCTTAAGTTACCTCAAGACCCATGAATAAGCCATGGTAGAGCTCATCCTCAAATTGAGGGACTGCCAAGGCTGGTACTTCCCACCAATCTCAGAATCTGAATTGAATCAGAGGACCCTTTAACCTCTCTGAATCAAATCAGAACCCTCCAAATTGATTTGAAAAGATTTGGACAGCTTTGGTGATTCAGAGGTAGACACAGCTTTAAATGTCTTTTCTACATACCTTTAGGTAGCAGGAGCAGATGCAGAGTCCCACAGAAGCACAGAGCGGGTCCCCGGTGTGCTACGCAGCAGACCCAGAAGTGGACCACAAGCACTTCCTATCCACTTCCTGATTCACCGAGGAACTCACAGAACCTCCCCCCCCGCTCCACCCCGGCAACTGATGCCTCCTGGATCAGGGGGGCACCTGCAGTCCCCCTGCAGCCGATCACCAGGTTGGTGGGGTGCGGGGGTGGCCCTGGCACGTTCCCTGGCAGACCCAGAAGTGGACCGGAAAAACTTTCAGTCCACTTCTGGGTTCACTGCCAAGCATGCGCACGCTGCTGTGGGACACTCCATCCGCCCCAGCACCGCAGTGATCCCAGCCACGCTGCTACCCTCAAGGTATGCAGAAAAAACTTTAAAAGTTGTGTCTGTGTCCAAATCGCTGATTCACCGAATCAGCATTGAATTGTCAGATTCTGATTTGGCTGAATCAAACCAGGGACAGTGATTTGAATCACTGTCCCTGATTCGGGCCAAATCCGAATCGAATAGGGCCCATTTTGCACACCCCTAGTGCTTACTACAGGTATTGTGCCTGGCCCTTGGATGGGAACAGAAGTTGGAGAGACTTCTTGTAAGCTCCCCTCATCTTCTGCACCTTCAAAGAGTTGAAGACAGCATGGTCTTGCATGTTAATGCCTACTTTGCCCATATATGATACAATGAACTATGCATTACATCTTTTGCTGTTTTTCCTTTTTGGAGAGGAGGGATTGAAAGAGCATAAAGGATACTGGAATACTGTGAGAGGAAATGACTGAAGAAAAGGTGGGTTAGAAAAAAGATTGGGCACTTATGCCCCTAACTGGTCTGTACAAGTGAGAAACAGTCTGTTCTTAGCTCAGGACTTTATATTATTGCCACTTTGCAGCTTAGTAGCTTTACCTGTGGTTTTGTAGCTGTGCAATCATTCAAGGTCAGTGGTTCTCAACATTTTGGCCCTGCAGGACTGGCACTGGTCTATGGGCCAAACCAGACTGTGTGCTGGGAGCAAGCCCTGCCCAGCCCCCATATGCCAGGATCAGGCTCTGGGGCTTCACACTGCCTCCACCCACCCCCATGTACCATGATTAGGACCCCAGAGCCCTGTGCCACCTCTGCCATTCCAGGATCCAGCATGCAGAGCCACAGAACCACGGGGCTCTGCACATACTCATTGGGAGCCCCACAGGCTGGAAGACCCAGTGCTGGGGACTGGATCTGGCCTGCAGGCCAGATATTGAGCATCCTTGTTCTAGGCAGTCAACCCAGGAGTGATACAAAGCAGAACGGGCTGCCAAAATTAGATGCACTGTTATGTTTACTATCAAGTCAGCCAGGATCTGAGACTCATAATTCAAATGCTTCCATTATTCAAACTGTTCATCTTTCTTTTGTGCTATTCTGTTTGTGCATCATATCAGATAAGCCCTTCCCTCATATCCCATGCACTTGATCCATTTCATCAAAGCATATGTTGTTGTATTTGAAACTACTATTAGGGCTAGCACAATATGATCACTGCATTCTCACAGAAATCTCAGGAATATCTGTGGGCTTTTTAATCGGATACCTTAAATCTTCATGAAATCTGTTGCTGGAACAGTGGATGGCACAGACCACAAAGATGCAGATGGAATACAAATCTCCTGTTACCAATGTGGAGGAGCCCATATTTCCAGACGGTACTGAACTGAGCACCCATCTCATTTTCTAAAGGGCTACTGAGACCACTGGTGATCTGGGACTATCTACCCTTCCATATGCATGTATAACTTGCGTTTTCCACAGTATATCCAATCTGCATATATGCATGTAGTCAGATCAGTTTGGACTGTATGAATACAGACCACAGATGAGCTAAGATTCAAATTCAGAGCGCTAGGATTTAAGTGACAACTAGTGCAAGCAAAACTCTGGGATGGCAAAGATTCCAAACACTCTCTATCACCCTGATTTACGTCTTGAAATGACTGAAAGCCCTTTATGCCTTGTCTAATCCTGCAGTATTTTGGAATGACATGTTTCTGTATTTGCAGTCTGAGTACAAAGCTCCTCAGGAGACCAAGACAGCATGAGCAGAAAGTGTTATGATCCCAACAGGTCCTGTGTATTCTACTCAGCTTAAGCAAATGAAGAAATCCTGACAATTTTTTCCTAGAAGTTCAAATTTTGCAGATATGGAGCTACTAGTTTGGTTCTTTATAGATTTTTTTTTATTGGTAACCTATTCTTCTAGCAAAGTCCAGGTCAAACATAGCATCTCCTCTTCAACCCAGGTAAGCTTTGTATTTAATTTTCCAATGTATTTAAATGGAGAATATCTAAATGAATTTAAAGTACACCATTTTTCTCTGCATATACATCTTCATAGGTCACATACACATAGGAAGAGGTGCTTTACAGCTAGAAGACTTACGGGTTTGTAGGACTCAAGATAAACATGGAGCTGTAAGGCAGGATTGGCTTCGGCCCATTTTTTGTCAAGTCATCACCATCCACATCTTTTTTCTCTTCAGTTTTACTTTCAAATTCAACGCTGTTCACTACATTGTAAAATTGAAGGAAATAGGCATCAAACAGGCCACAAAAGCACACTCTGTAGTCAAGTATTTTTTTAACAATTAAACATATAAATAATATTGGTGGGATATAGAACAATCACTTCCGAACATGCTGAAGTATGATAAACCTATTGGTTAATTATTAGCACTGCTATTTACTATAGTATAACACACAAAACAATTAAATTATTCCTTAGCTGCTTTAATATGCCCAGCATAGATAAACAAAGAAATCTTATATTTATTATACAAGATCTGGCAAGATAAGGGCTGAAACCCCATCCTAAACTACTAGATACTTCTGTAATCTGCTACATTTATCTGCCCAGTTTTGTATTGGGATCATGAATCAGCTTGGGCTGTATACTTAAGCGAACTGGCAACATACTCCTGAGCCTTCTGCTGTGTGGAATAGACCTGAACATTCAAATGAGCAAGCTATTACTTCATTTGATAATTTTTCACAAAACCCACGTTTCTCTGAAGTAGAGACAGAACTCCGGAAGCGAGCTCCTGACTTGCTGGGCGCGTCTATATGAGACACTTTACACAAGATTAGAGCAAATCACTGTGCAGTACAGTGACATCTCGTGGGTCTCTGGCACCTGGGGGCCAATGCCTGCATTTGTCCACAGCCGATTGCAGCAGAGCAAGGGCAGGGAATTTGCACTTCCAGTTTCACCGGAAGTGCCGCCTGGGGACCGAGTACCCCCTAAAGGGCCCAGCTGGCGCCCCCACCACCGGCGGTACGCCACTGGCGCAGTAAGCATCACCATCTACACATGCAGACACTTATTGCATAGTAATTTGCTCTAATCATGAGTAAATTTGCCACCTGTAAATACAAGTAGCAAATTTACTCACAAGTAATTAGTGTGCAATACGGCACGTGTAGATGGCTGAGCCAGGGGTGGGAGATTGCTCCCTGCCCCCAGGGGCTGCCTGCTGCCAGGGAGGTATCTGGCACCAAAGCCCGGGCGGGAACAATGTTCTCCTGCCACAGCAGCAGGGAGCGCCCAGCCCCTGCTCCACGACTGCAGAGCAGGGGCTGGGAGATGATTGCCCCTGCACTGTGAAAGCTTCCGGCCCAGCCTGGAGCTGACTAGGACCTGCCCCTGACTGGCCAGCCCTGGGCTGCATGGGGAAATCTACATATGCAGCCTGGAAGTGGCTGGGGACTGTCCCATTTTGGGCAGTTCCCAGCCAGCTCTGGGCTGCACGTGTACACTCCCCCGCACAGCCCAGGGCTGGCCAGGAACTGTCTTGGTCAGGGACAGGTCCCAGTCCTGTGCCCCAACTGGCCAGCTGGGGCCTCACTGCTAGCTGCACCACTGGCAGATCGGGGCAGGGGGCTGGGATCTGTCCCTCCCTTGCAGTTCTTTCCAAGCCCCTGTCTCCAATCAAAGAGCCAAGGTCAGGAGGGCACTGTCCCCACCCAGGCTCCAGTGGCATCAGGCAGCTCCTGGGGGCATGGAGCAATCTCCCAGCCCTGACCAGGAAGCAGCTGTGTCCTGGACCCATGCTCCCTGCCAGCCCCTGGGGTAGCACTTAGGGGGAGCCTAGAGCTCTCCCTGGCTGCTGCAGGCGACCAGGGAAGGGCTGGAGGGGTTGGGAGCAGATTGCAGCCAGGAGCAGCAAATCATCCCCGCACGTGTAGACACCTGCCTAAGGTGGGTTTACTCCATAATAATTTATCCACCCCACAGCATTTGTACATGTAGACATGCCCACTGAATCCAATCCCTTGCTTTCACAGGCAACTGTATCATATTATATCCCATTTATAGACTGATCAAGCTCCATCTTAAGCTAGTTAAGTGCTCCGCCCCCTACACTTTGTGAAACTGTTCCCAAACCTCACTGCTCTGAGGATTAAAAAACTTCTAATTTACAACTTAAATGTATCCCTGAACAGTTTTTAATACATTTACTGAACCATGATACCCCGTATTTGACATGCAAACTAGCCCCTGCTTCAGGTTCTTCTCTTAGATAAATAGAAGTTGTGTAGACAGTTCAGATGTCCAAAAGTCCATTCTCTTTATGAGGATCCAGCAGTGGCATTTACTATTGTTCATTAAACTTTTCTTTTCCCCAAAAAATGATAGGTCAGTATGAGTGAAAAAGAATGGCTCGATACTTTTTGAAAAAAAAAAAATTCTTTCCTATTTCTCAGGTTACATATATGGCAGAGTTGCAAGGAAAGTCAGACTCTGGTAAATTGTGACTGATAGGCAGTGGTATCAGAATACAGTAATAGTGTTAAAAATCTCATATGGCCAAAAGCATAAAGAGGAAAAAGTATCAGCAAAGATGCCAGGTCTGAGCCACGTCTCCTAAATTTTCACCTCCTGGTTTTCAGATCAGCTTCTGCTAGCAAACTTTGCAGCTGTTCTAGGAGCTTCTCCCAGTTACTAGGACTTAAGGAAATCACAGAGAAATAGGGTTGGAAGGGATCTCTAGCGGTCATCTGGTCCAAACCCCTGCCTGAATCACCCCTCTCCAAACCATCTCATACAAATCCATTGTCCGCTCTCCTAGCAAAACTATACAGTCAACCCAAACACAACACAAGACATAACACCCTAATCTGCCATTGGTAAAGCAGAGGGACCATGGTGGCCAACCTCCTGATGCTGCAAGGGTTGTTAAAATATGCAGAGATCCCTGGAAGAAGACTACTGAGGAAGGCAAAAGCCCCCATGGTCTATACCAATCTGGCCAGGGTGTAAAAATCTTACCTGGCCCCAAATATGGCATTTGGTCTAATCAAGACCTTCTAGGCAGGAATCTCTGAGTTTAAGTCCTAGCAGGAACTCTGGTACACCCAACTCAAAATTCTCAGTCTTGGCTGCAGTCAACACCCAATGTTACTGAGGAAAATGTAGCAGCTAGGGGGGAAAAAAATTCCACCCCAGCCCCATGAGGCAAACAGCAAAGCCCAGAAGCATAGGAAATACCTATAGTAGAACACAGGCATAGCTATGCCGACATCATCTCTGACCAATGTCTGTCCAACCCCTGCCTATATACCTCCAATGCTGGAGATTCAACAGCTTCCCTGTGCAATCTATTCCACTGCCTCACTCTTCTAATAGTGAAGGTTTCCCATCTAAAACTACTTTGCTGTGACTTCAAGCCATTGATCACTGTCCTACTCTCTGCAGTGACAGAAAAGGTGTTGTTCTCTTCTTTAGGGCAGACCTTCAGGTATTTAAAGACTGCTATCATATCCTTTCTGAAGCACATTTTCCACAAGCTGGACATGCCTATTTCCTTCAGCTTCTCCTGGTATGACTTGCCTTTCAAGCCCTTTATCATTTCTGTTGACCAGTTCTGGAGCCGCTCTTTTTCAGGTCCCTGTTAAAATGTGAACCCCAAATATGTACACAATACTGCAGATGACGTCTAATCAGTGCTGAGTAGAGATGCACCACTGCTTCCCATGTCTTCCATTTAATGCTCTACTGATGCATCCCAAAGCAGCACTTGTCCTTTGTGTGGCTGCATCACACTGCAGACTCATATTGAGTCTGATCTACTAAAACTTTCAGATCATTTTCTGCAGTGTTGCCATCCAGTTAAGTGTCGCCCAGTATGTACTTGTATTTTTGATCATTCCTCCCTTCTCACAGATCCTCCTTTGGCCTCTTCAGCCATGCCACCAAAACATCCCTTTCTATCCCTGGCCCAGTCCCATGCCACAGGTATTTTTTAGGTGAGGATTTCATCCTCTATACACTGAGGGGAGGAATGAATGGGACCTGGTATTATGTAAAAAAAAGTAAACAAGACAAAGAAGAAGGTATATTTAGAGTATTAGTGGAAGGAACCTTCTCACCTTCTTCAGCAAGGGTGTTTAGTGGACATATCCAGGGTATCAGTCCACAAGGCAAAGAACTAACCACCAATTTCCCATTCATATGAGTCATAATGAAGGAGTATAGACATGTCACAAGAGTCCTTGTTAATTAGAACACATTTAGTGACAACCTTTAATCAAACTGCTCACAACTTCCCACAAACACTTGTTTTGGATAAACCAAACTCTTCTGGTACGCAGTTTTACCAGTTTAAAGTTGCTGCTGCTCCAGAGACAAATGCTCTAACCATTTTAATACTCCTGATAGAGATGCATCCGCATGGGGCTAATCTTATTTACTTCTAATGGGTGAAATGGTGTATTAATCTTAATAACATACGGTAGCACTCGGGTGTTCTCAAAGCCTTTGACAAACGTTAATAAAATAAGGCTCATGACATAGCTAAAAAGCAAGCATTTTTCTTAGTTTTCACTCAGAGGCTTTAACAGGTCAAAGGGCCAGATTTCCAGAAGCGATGAGCATCACCAAGGCACCTACTGACTTCAACAGGAGTTGTGAACATTCAAAACTTCTGAAGATCAGGCCCCAAGTGAACTGTCCACGATAAACCAAACACACCAAGCAAGACTCAGAGCTGTGAAGAGAACCAAGAAGACTTCATTACCTCTCCCCTCATCTAAACGCTGGAAAAAACCTTAGTATTTCAGCTTCTGGGCACTGGCAGGTGCACTCTGAAGAGCAAACATGCTCAATGTTTGAACAGGTCTCTCATCATCCATGAGCTGCTTAGGAAAGCCTGGTTTTAAAGGAGAAAAAGTAAAAAAAAATCTCCTCTTTCATGCAGAAGCCAGGGACTTTCTCCTCAGACAATTCAGAACTAAGAATGACACAAAGCTGTTACCCAATGACATCAGAAACCAGAAGCAGACTTGACATGACATTTCTCTAGGCCATTTCTCCCCTCTCTCCTTTTTTGTCGCTATCTCTTTCATCTCATTCTAGAGATTTAGCCTGGTTTAAAAAATAAAAAAAAGATAAAAAAAGTAGAAAGAAAGACAACTCCTCTGCCCAAGTGTATTGCAAGGAAGGAAATACACACTAGGAACATCAAGTTTGTTATTACAACTTAAATTAGTCCAAGGTCCTTTGCTCTATTATATGGCCATATACGTTCGTATTTTCAAAAGAGCTCAGCTTCCACTTGGCAGAATTCTTTGGGAAATATAGACTTCTGTCTGCAACTTTCCTTGGGGCTGAGAGGCCCTTAAAGACACTTACTTGGTATGACGGTGGTCTCCCCCGGTGGTGCAGTGATGGTAACGGGGATGTTCACAGTGGTGGTTTTGTCCAGCGGTGGCTGAGTCATCCGAGTCACATTCTTCTGATTGTCAGCATCTTCTGGCTGTTCAGGCACTTTCTGCAGGTATGTGCTGGGCAGGGTTTGCACCGGGACGACACTGACACTCGCCCCAGCCTCGATCTCACACTGGTTTTCCCTGAGAAAGAAGAATAGTGATTATAAACCTATTCAAAACCAAGGCATTTCTAAATGGGAGACCTTTATGGAAAACCTACAGACTGCAGGTAGTATAATGGAAGCGACTTTTTCACTCTACTGTGCCAACATCTATACATGATGTGAAGAGGCTATACGCAACTGGAAACCCCATTTTTTGAGACATAAAACTGAGGTCCCATGAGGTGGGGATCCCATGACTCTTATACAGCTGTAGTAACATTAGTCTCTTTTATCAGCCACATTCTGGATTAGGTGTTTACCTTCATCTCCCCTATATTCTCCCTGAAGTCTCATATGACATGCCGCATTTCCAATCTTAAACTGTTGTATAACATTACTATATGCAGCTAAATAGCTATTGCATTGCACTTCAGAAATGGCTGTATTTCAATGAGAAACACAGTGATCCCTATGTGAACGATTAATCTATGAAATGTGTTAAGTGTTTTGGGATCCATTTGAATAAAAGGTGCAACAGTAAGATTAATACATCAATTCACCTCTGTTAACCATTTCATTTGGTGAGATACATCCCATGCCGATGATTCGCAGCCTTTAAAATTACATTATTAGAGCTGTAAAGGCAATTCTGTCTTCTATCCCTATTTTTCTATTAAATATTCTAAATGTGTCATGGTTATTAATTTTCCCATTCACTCCAATAACAGTTAAACATAACATCATAAATTTTGTTTGTGCACTCACTTGCTGCCCCTGAGATAACAATATATTGACTATATAAATGAATGTGGTACCCACAGCATGCCAACTAATAGCTCTGGACATAATGGGCTCATCCTTTCCCTATTAAAATCAATGGGAGGTTTGCAAATGACTTCATTGGGAACAGGACTGGGCTGCAGAAACTTTTTTTTAGTGAAAGTTAGGCAGAACACTTAGATTCCCACTACTTTAATTGTTGACTAAATACCAAGCAGAAAGGGATTGTGTTTTAGTGTCTGACTTCTTACAGAGCTTTATTCACTCAGTACTACACTGTCATAGAAGCATTACACATGAAAATGCTTTCCAATAAGCCATGCTGATTTATTTGTCATATGCTCTAAGTGACTCTCAAATTAACTTTCAGAATTCAGGGATATTAAAAAATCTCTAACCTGTTACAGTCAAGGATCAAGAGGATTTTAGGAGCCAACATCTATATTTATTCCCAGGGAATGATAAAAATTAAGTATGTTCACCCTGGGGGGAGGAAGCAAGTTCAAGCCTCAGCCAGTCTATGGAAGTTTCCCCCCTTTCTCCCACTGGTGCTCCCTTATGTTGTTAATTAGCACCACAAGAGACATTTGTGCTTGGGATATTTCTTGGGTTATTTCCAATGTGTCAAAAACAGTTAGAGAGAAAAGGCTGAAGAAATGGTTAATGCTGAAACTGTAGCTACTGCCTTTGTAAAGAAGTCAGTGCCTGCAGAGATTTCTACTGCAAGCTCAAAACCACATGGGCTCCATAAGTGCTATAACATGTTTATATGGTAAACTGTGAAAGCTTGAGGGAGGCATAAATGCCCAGCCAATCAATCACATGTCTTTTAATCCCTCTGTAAGGTACCCATAAAGAATCTGAGATATCAGAATCTGATGGAGTCAAGATAATATGTATTTGCTGCTTACTCTCATATACTGAGCTTCAACTAAGTTAATTTATGAAGTTAAGTTAATTTATAAAGTACCATGGAAATGCACATCACTATCATGACAATGCAGTAAAATAAGACAGGGCATGAAGCCTGTCTGGATACAACAGACATGCAAGGACAGATTCTGGTCTTAGGTCACTAGGATAAATCAGAAGTTTCTACAGAAGGGACATGGTAGAGATTACTTTGTATTTAAAGTACTACAGTGGGGCACCTATATATGTATACTGAGGCTGCTCTGATGTGCTGTAATTACAGCACGTTGGGGCAGACTTAATTAATTGAATCAGCATGGTAATTATTGTGACCCAGCAGACTCCAGCGTCACAAGTATCAGCACCCCTCTGCTGAAAAACGGTGGTGTGGGTGCTTTAACTAAAGGTCCCAACAACATTATGGGTCAGTATAAGACCCAGGTACATTTCTAGTCCCTCTCTGCTCCCTTGGGGGAACACTGGAGGAATAGAAAAATGGAACCACAACTCCATCCCAGTGTGTACAGTCCTTCACTACACACTGGAGCAGGGGCCGGCAATTATTTCAGGTGGAGGGCCGCTTACTGAGTTTTGGCAAGCCATCAAGGGCCGCATAACAGGTAGCCAGGGGCAGGTAGCTATTAATTTTCTAAATTTTTAGGGTCCCGCGGGCCAGATAGAATGGCCTTGCAGGCCGCATCCGGCTCGCGGGCCACATTTTGCCCACCCCTGCACTGGAGAGATCTAGCAGATCTTACTACAATCCATGTGCAACTGCCAGGAAAAAAGCCTAGAAACTGGCACTCTGAATATGCCCATCCTTCTATGCACCCCATCAAAAGACAATCTGGAAACCTAGTAGCACTCTAAGGGTTAAGTATAACTAGTATCCCATTCCTCAAGGATTGTGTTGGATTTTCACATTCTTTTAAAATGTTTTCTTCCTCTGTCACCATTGAAGTGCAATAATTTGCAGGTACATAGTGAAGTACCTTGCTTGCCAGTCTCCAAGTATTTTGCAAACATTAACTAATCAGACCTCAGAAACTGTTTCTGCCTCTGTAAAATGGGAATAAATGATTCTGAAATCCAGAAGTAAAACTTAAAATAAGTATTTTACTTAAAAGTAAAATACTTTTTAAGACCTACTTATAAATGATAAAAGCCCTACAAAACCATAAGCTGGAAAACAAAACCAAAACTATCCCAATAAACCTTACAATAAGAATAGTCCAAAACACAGTGAAAAGCTACTATGCTCAATTCATTCTGCTGTTGCAATACTTGTTATGTGTGTTGTATGGTGGTAAGTCTGCCAAAGAGCAGGGTCACAACAGCACTCTGCTAGGGAGCCTAGAGCCGCCTACTACAGACAAGGACCGTGTGGGGCTGAATCAGGAGTATTTTGGCACAAGACATCTTTAAGACTGCATTGGCCAGTTAAGCTCACACCATATTTTAAAGCTGTTTTCCTTCAGTAATCTTTAGCTGACATTGCTACTGTCAATACGTGGGGATGGTACAGTGTATTTTAATGGTAACCACAGGGAACATTTAAAAGGCGAGGATGTTCTTTGCTCGGATGTATTTGGGGATTTCCTCCCCCACAGGTGGCACACCGACAAGAGCAGTGCTGACTTACTTTGGCTGATGGTTCCTATGATCCTTTTCCCCAACTTCTCCTTCTTTTTCCCCATTCTCCTTCTCCGCTGGGTCGTAGGTTGACAGAGCTCTGTTCCGGAATCTGTGCCGTCTGTGAGGCTCTTCCCCATTCTCTCCTTTCGAGCCTGGATCTCCTTCTCGATTCCCCGATCTTGACCCTCCTCGGTGACGTGAACGCCGCTCCGTTCTGGCACCATTGATTGTTCCGTTGCCTTCCTTGCCTTGCCGCTCGGCTGAGTGCCGGTGAGTCCGATGCCTCCGGTGCTCCTTCTCGGCCCCTTCCTCCACTGACCCACGACGATGATGCCTCTTCCCCCCTTCCTGGCCTCTGCTGCGCTCAATTTTCCCTTCCTTGCTACTCCCCTCCGCTTCTTTGCTGCGGCTCCTGTGTTGCCTCTGTCGTTCCTCTTTGTTGTTTGTGCCAGATTCCCCGTTCTCATCCTTGGTCATGTCACTCTTCTCTTGCTCTCCTGTCTTGTCTTTCTCCCGATGCCGGTGATGTTTCCGTGGAGCTTCTGCACACTCAGCAGAGATGGTCTTGGTCTGCTCAATCTCCTGAACATCTCCAGGGCTTAGCTTATTGACATTGTTCCGACCTTCAGTCCTTGGCTCTACCACCAGAGGCCGATCCAAATGAGTTTTCATGTCTGGTCGGATGTGTAGGGTGGTGGCATAGCGCACCCGCTCCTCTGGGTCGAGCTCATTGTACAGTGCCTCGCAGCTGGCTCGGAAATTGTGCATTCGGATCTGGCTGGTCCTCTGTTCCCAAACAGACTTGGATTTGGAGGAGTTCTGCTGCTTGCTGCAGAACAGAGGAGGAAAAAACAAATATCAGTAGCTAGTTAGGACCAGGTTTTACTCCACCTCTCTAAAATAAATTTAATAAAATGGAGATTTTTTTCACCTGAAATAGGGAACTATAGGGTTGAGCCAAAGAAAACAGAGGAATGAGGATAGAATGACTGGCAGAAAAACACATGAGACGATAAAGCCAGTGGGATACACAGACTGCTGGTCCATCCCCACACATGAACAGCACTACTTAACAGAGCTTTTGTACTAATTTATTTATGTTCTAATCATGTGTACAATTGCATAATTAAAACCACTGCTCATAAAAATCCTAAACAACAGTTATAACTTTCTAAGTAATCCAGACTACACCCTCAACCAAAAGCTTGCCCCTCTTTGCTAGAAAAAGCCTGGGTGAATGATTTCCTTACATAATTCAACCTGAAGCTCAATAGATTTTGGTGGTGAAGAGGTAAGAAGTAAAATCCACGGGTGAGAACCCTTTCCCAAATGCTCTGACACTATTACCTTCCTATTTAAACTGGGAAAGGGTCACTCAAGCATCTCAGACGAGCTGAACTGTCCCATCGGTGTATGGTTGTGCAAAGGCGTAAATGAAAAGGAAAAACTATTCAACACACCTGTTAGAAATGACAGGAATCTGAAGAGTTACACGCATGCCCACAGATTGGATGACAGCTTCTTTACTGCTCCTCCCCCAGGCCCCTGAGACTTATCCCATTCTTCCCTCTTAAAAGTAAGAAAAGATCTTCTCCACTGACACTACCTTGATGCCTTGGTTTTTAGCCACTTAAGGCACCATTTAAGATGCTGGCTTCTGATCGTGATATGCTAATAAGGATTCTGCCTAACCAACTAGACAAGGAGAAGTTTTTATTCCTATTGCTCTCTTTCCTTTAGAGACATACTAAAAAACTGAGTCAAATTCTCATTTACATCAATGTAAAGCCAAGGTAACCTCACTGACTTCAAAGACTTTATCCTGGATATACAATAGTTTAAATGAGAACAGAGCTCATCCTAGGATTCTCCACACACAAAACCCCTCTCCCCTCCCCACCCTTATGTATTACTCCATAAGCTCTTCCTGTTTAGGGCACCAAGCTAGCAGTCAGTCCTAGTGAGTCCCAACAGGCAGATGAACCCAGAAAGGGGATGGTAAATCTGCAAGGTTTGCTCAACATTGGAAGAGGCAGTAGAGCCTGGAAAACAGACTCTCTAAAAAAATAACAACATTCGTTCCAGTTTCCTTTAGTGACAGAAGAAACCAGCGGTGAGGTTATGCTCGCCGATCGAGATTGGCAGGATTTGTCATCCTTCTTGGGCCCGTCGGGAAGCAACATTCAGAGGATGTCATGTCATATCATGGGAACTGTCCAAAATGCTTTCTATTTTAGATATCTGCCATGTTCCTTCATTTTACTCAGGGTGCTGTTGGCTGCTTTTGCTAAAGAGGCCAAAATGTTCCTAAATGCTCACAAAGGATGGGAGGAGGGCATTCAAGCAGATGTAGAGGAATCTGATTTAAGTCCAAAATCAGAAATAGCACACCTGTGTTCAAATACCAAGTTTCCTGTTCTCGCAGCTGTCTACTGTGTAGAGAGCACGGCCCAAGAGCTAATTTCAGATTAGCTTACTGCACTTTTTAGAAGCTTTTAAAGGGAACTAAAGGAAAGCATGGAAAGCCCACCCACTATTTTCACCACCTAAAATCCACGCAGTGCCTGTGTAAGCATTCCCCAGCTCTCAGAACTCTCCAAGGGGCTCATTCGTCTGTGCTGCTCATCTAGAGGCATCTAGTACTGTTGTGAGCCTGTAGACTGGGTTGTGGTAGGGAAAAATTTTCACCCTTGATGCTCAAGCTCAGGGAAAATAAGGTCTGGTTGTGATTTGGGGTATGCTTGTACACAATCAGTTTTTCCTTACTGTGTGCACTAAACTTGCTCTTGTTTGGGTGATAATAGTTATCTTTTGAGGCCTGTGGAGCAAGGACTGCTTCTTCTGATAAAAAAACTTCTTTTGTCAGTTCTTGGCCATTGACCTACCAGTGCAGGAAGCATTTGCCCTGGAAACATCTGTATTACTTGTTTTTCACATGTTAAGACCACAAATTAGCCATTTAAAAATGCAATTATCTCAGAGGTGCAGTGCTCTATTGTTACTGGACTACACATAAGTGAAAGCTGAAGCTGCTGCTAAGCGCACACACTACTGAGGGGGTCCTATAGGAGCACAGTAATTTGCATATTAATGAAGCCTATTTTGCAAAATTTGCTTCCTTAACACAGACAGCAAAATTACAGACTCACCAAGCTTTGCAGAATCTATAAATACTAACATCACAACAGTAACAGTGACACATTTAGTACAGGGTGACACTCCAAAAACAACAAAAAAAAGAGCTTTCCCAGCCACTAATAAGCCAAGGAGAAGGAGCAAGAGAATTAGTCTGCAGTGATGTTTGCAAGTAATGATTACACTTTTGTTAAATAAAAAAAAAAAAAGAGGACAAAGAGATACAAACTGTAGTAAAGACAAAATCCACAGAATTAAAGCATGCCTTCAGCTAATTATCATATCCAAACTATCTAAGAACAACAAGAGCAATTCATGGTGTGCACAGTCTTGTCTGAAAAATGGAAGTAAAGCAATAGAACAGCTTGATTTTTCCGGAGACAATATTTAGGGATTTTCAGAGCGAAAGCTGCAGCAACTGGAGGGAACATGTACTCTGCTTGTCCAATTAAATTTAGCTGACTCTTGCTTTCTACAAGTTCTCACAGTAACTGGAACACGAACACATTCAATAGCTTCTTCTCTGCTGCTGTAATTTCTTTGGAGCAAGGAGCTTTTGAACATACTCACCAGCATTATTAATGGTATCACAAGGGCATCACTTAAGAGAAAACAGTATTATTTAACTACATGCATAGGAGGGGAGAGTTCATGTGTGCTGTACACAAAAATTTTAGAAGAGATCAGAGAAATGCAGCTATAATGAGATTATTCTCTATAATGCATTCCCCACTTTTCTACCAAGTTCAGTTTTCAATTACTCAAAGGTAACAGCACAACCACAGATCTCTTTAGAATACTAAATATGGCACATAGCAGCACAGTACAATATTTCTGTGTCAGGTCTGAAGTGAGTGTAAATCCTTTATAATAAGGGGTACAACCATAAGCCTTTGGATTGTATGCCTTTTGTTGGTACTGTTGATTTCATTCTTTAAACCATGGCTCTCTTTATTGATCATTCTTCAGACATCTTTGCAGATAAGTATCCACCTCCTTTCCAGAGCTCCAGGATGGATAGTTTGGTTCTCAAAATACTCTGTCCTGAAGACTATCAGGAAAACTTGTGCTGACCACCTCCAATCCATGGCCCATAATCTGTTGTTGGTGTGTACTAGGGAGAACATCATCTATGTACTCTGAGTTTAATTTCTCTTAGGGAAAAAAAAGAAAGAAACAAGAAAAAATAGTTTCTCCCTGTTGCCTACCTACACAACAGTTGAAATTCTTCTCAGGCCTGACATATCAAGGTAGATATTGGTACTATTGCTTGGGATAAGACACTTAACATACCAGATAATAAACCAATGCACAAATGTTGTATTTCTCAGCTTTATTATATACACAACTTACACTGCATCAGTCTCATAGAGAAGTAAGGCTAGAGGGGACCTCAAGAGATCATCTAGTCCATCCAGGGAATTAAACCTGCAACCTTGGTGTTATCACCACCATGCTCTAGTCTAACCAATTGAGGTAAATGGTCATTTAAGACAAATAGCGTACTGATAGGGTTTTTTTAGTATACTGGTTTCCTAACTAGAGAATCTGTATTTTCTCATTAAAAAACTATAAATCTTATAAATAAAACCTTAACTAATCAGCCTAGATTAGTCAAGAAAATAGGGTGCATTTTTGAGTAAATTTAAGTATAAACAACTTCTTTATCAGCTAGGGAATTTTAATCAGGCTAATTTAGAACACTTCATTTAAATATTCACACATTACTTCCCAAAACTATTTTAATATATTATATAAATAAAAACTTTAAAAATATGCTCTCAAGTCTTTAGGATTTTCATTTAAATAAAGACAAAATAAATGCTGAGGAAGGAGTTCAGAATTTGATCCAATATATATCAGACTCTAGCGGTGGTAGTTAACTATTTTCTGACTGGAGCTGGTATGGAATTTTTTTGCTGAAGCATTGTTTGCAACATAAAATGCTATGCCCACACAACTGAAATAAAAATGATTTTCTGATTTAGATTTTGCTGCAGACTTCAAGTTGTATTAGGAAAAAACTAATTAGCTTTGCTAGGGCTGACCTAACTAATGCATTGTGCTTAGTCAAAGCAAACTATAACACCTTGTTTCAGGACAGTCAGATATGAATCTCTGTTTCAGATTTTGACCTGCTTCTTGAGAGCTGTGGTTGGGTATTTTATATGCCCATTTTCTCGTCTATGGACTGGACTCCTTGATTAAATTATTTCTCCTGTGACGTATGGTAGTCTCCCAGATGGCTAAACGATCACGTTGCATCATGGAGCACCATTATCATGCATCATCACGTGAGATGTAATGTGGCTATTATCATAATAGAATTATAGCTTCTCTAATAATGGCATATCTCTTCTGTGAAAAATTGTGATACTTTAACTTTTTGTTACAGTTGAAAAAAAAAATGAAAAAAAAATCTTCTCCCATACACAACACATACCTTTTTTCTAAAAAACCCTCAGCTATTGGAAACTGTGATGTGCATTATATGCAAGAAATATGATGAAAGCAGTTTCTGCCACTTACTAGATGAAACCAAAAAAGTAACACCTGCAGCGATCCACAGGGGGAAGAACAATGAGCAGGCTCAGCTCCCTAGCTGCTGCTACTCAGTTACTTATTACAAGGAAAGATTTTTTTTTCTCTCTGCATTTCAAAACAAGGTGTGTATTATATTCTGGGGTATGTGTT